TGTAACTGATGTCGCATCCATCCAGGGAACATCTATTGTTATACGCACCTGAGAGACATCAGCCAAAAAGTAGAGATTATAATCCACAGAAAACAGAATTTTCGTTGCATAATTTCTAAAATAATGATAATATTCTATGTCAGAAGTTCAAGATTCATTCGGGAGGCAAAAGAGGAGCCTTGGCTCAAAAGTTGGGGCCAAAACAAAAAAGTTGAAGATATTAAACGAAAATATTATGGAACAAAGAGAAAAACGGATTTTAATTAGCTTCTTTTGTGAAGTACGGTGCCCGTTAATAATTAAGTTATAATTCAAGACTTCAATGTCAAAATAAAACAATATTTAATCACAACCGCAAATAAATACTTAACAAAAACAAAGAAGCAAAAGTCAACCAAAGATAACCATTTCAGTGAATAATTTGTTAGTAGAGCGACTCGGCTTAACGTCCTGTAAATTCTAAATCAAAACCCAAATCATCTACGCACAATAATTCACACTAATTCTACTGGATAATTCCACTCAATTGTCATTCAATAATCACACCAGTCAGTAGCCTGACACTGCTATTTATACACCTGGCGGAAAACATATTCATAAGACCAGAGTGTTCTTTAGCTTTAATAGGGCAACAAGTCATGTCAGAGTTCATGTAACACCGATAGGAGGGTGACGATATTCAGTCACCCCCCACGAGGGTGTCATGTGGCACAAGGCCTTTTTAACGTGGGCATTCCGAGCCCGTGGGCTCGGCCAAAAATATGCCCATTGAACCCGTATAAACCTCCCCGAAGGAGACTCCGGCCTTAGGCGTAGCCTCCTTCGGGTTCCTCCCGTCCGTAGGAAGAGAGTTTAATCGAACCGTCGGTTCAGAGTTGAGGAGGGTGACACTTACAATCCATATAAATAATAGGACAGAGATGGATTTTGCTATGTCTAGAAGAAACCCCATTTAGGATTCAAGCCCTTGTCTATAATTATTCTAGAAGGAAGGATGACAACTCTGAATTATTGCCTTAGACACACCCAGTACAAAGATGGCTGCATTGAATGGATTACGTGATCGTGCCCGAAACCATGTACGTATTTTTTCTCAGGCTAATGCCAGTCGATTATCAAACGCGATCGTTCCTTTTAAGGTAAGGCGTGTGTAATTTTTCAAGTTAGTGAGTAACTGCAGAAGTCCCGAACTCCCAACTTCTCCAGAGGCAGCTGTTGGAGAATCATTTATTGTGATTGTCCAAGCTAAACTTCCGTACAAAGAATGCCATTAACGGCTAAAACCCTCATTAAGCTTCGTATTCCACTAATGAGAAGTTCCACTTGAACCTTTTTCACACTTCTGTCCGGTATTTTGGACAGGAGTAAAAGTTTATCCCTTGTTTCCTGTTTAAGATTGGGTTTTCTGATTCCTTCTAAAGTCTACTTCAACTCTATGCTTCTAACATCTCCACTAAAACCCTGAAATTTTATTTACTATTTAAGGTAGATAGATTCGCCTATCGTCCAGTTCACAAGTTTCCCTGGTTTTTTGAATTGGAGTAGAAGTTTATCCCTTATTTCCTGCTTAAGATTAGGTTTCCGATTCCTTCTAAACTCTACGTCAGCTCTTTCTCTCTTCCACCAATAGGAGTAGATAGATTCGCCTATCGCCCGGTTTATACTACTGTAAGTAGATGTTTGTTTTTGTTTTTTTTGTTTTTTTTTGTTTGTTTGTTTTTTGTTGTTGTTTGTTTTGTTTTGTTTTACGGCATATCAACCTCAATGGGTGATTTAATAGCGACAAAATTTTTATTGCTGGTCATTTTTTTTTTCAAAAAATGTATTGTTAGTAATATTTTTTTTCAAAAAAATGTATTGCTGGTAATTTTTTTAAAATATATTCCTAGTGATAATCATTACAAAATATTGCTGGTATTAAAACCTATTTTTACACTTTCATAGTGTTTTGACCCTAGTTTGGAAGGTTAACAATTTGCCCAAAGCTGGGACCCTAACAGGCGCTGCCACCCCGTTTCATGGTGGACCTGGGAACACCATCAATTAAGAGGTGGTTCCACGCTCCTCGAAACCTCCTTGCTGTCGGATGTAGTTTATCGTCTTACCCAGGACTGTTGATCGAGTAGACAGTGCCACAGCCGTTAACAACATTTCTATTGAAACAATTTTTCGTCAAAAAATACGTACAGTTATTAGTTTACGATTCTGTAGAGAGGCTTCATTCGCTCGAAGCTATTTTTAATCATTGATTCTGAGAAAACAGTTTTATACCCCTGACAGTCTAGATATTTCTAAACAGGTTGGTCAGCATGCACGACAACTGTATGGAAGTCTCGGCCTGACGAGGCTATTTAAGAACGTGACTTGAATTCAATGTTTAAGGATTTGATTTTTTATCATCTTGCGGCGTCGGACAAAACTACACAAAGCCCAGTCTATTCTAAGTTCAGTTTCCTTATCTTTTCTTTTTTTATTATTTTTAATCATTTCGCCGCAAGCAAAGCGGGACTTCAACTTGTAAGCAACGGGTTACGTAGAGTGAAAGTGAGAGGGAAAAAAATGGTTGTAGCGGGGCTGAGGAAAGGTTAAAAGGTGAACGGGATTCAAGAAAACAGGAGATGACGATTGACGTTGCATTTAAGTTTTTGAAGGTTGTACCTATCAGGGAAGAAAGTAAATGCAAGGGATTCCCATAGGCGGGAAATGCAAAAAAAGAAAATTATAGCGAAGAAAACGGCGACTCACCTCGTCAAACTAAGCGACAGCGCGTCGCGTGTATCCTACGACGGAAAAGAAAATTACTTACCCGCCCAAAAAAGGCACGTATTCCGCATGACATGCTGAAGACGGAATATTTAGATTAAAAAAAAAAAAAACAGTCCGTCGCAGGAGTCTCTATAAAAGTATTTTGATATGCAAAAATTTGTCGTCCTCTCCCAGTTGTTGATGAATGAAAAAAATGCTCGGACGATAAAAGCAGTTGGCGTTCTCGAATCGGGAGGAAAAAATTTATGTATTTTCGCTACCGCATTCGTCGGCGATTGAGTTATTTTTCTGACTGGTTACGTGCATTGTGATTTGTGAGATAGTACCTGCGAATCGAGATTTCGGCATTTCTTTCTGCCTTCGATGTTCGAGTCTGAACTTACAGTGATTTGTTCTCTGCGTTGTGGAAGTAATCTGCGACAAACATTTTCTTTGCTTTCAGAACGCTTACAAAATTGTTAGTGTAGAAGTGGCGGTTGTATTTAATTACTTCACTAGAAAAAGGGTGGGACCTAGTTGCGTATTCGTGACACCAGGAAGAAAGCTCGCCAGAGCAGTTACCAACAAAATATTTGTAGAAAAGACAGAAGGAATCCACGTCACGTCGGTGAGAAAATGACTGAAGTCGGGATGCCAAGTCAATATCGATTTCAAAATTCGTTATAATTAACCCTTATAGCGAGGTGTTTGAATGGTTTGTATAGCTAACTACTCGTATTCGATTATACGCGTCTACTAGGGCGGATATCCAATCCCTATTGCAGACGCTTGCTCAGGCACATTTGTGTTTATTCAACACCCACAGAGCCCACCTGTGGTTTATACCGCCACTATGCCGAGCAAAACTTAGTTTCTGAGAGAGAGCGTGTTATCTAGCGTGATCAACAATTTGAACAACGCCAGCACGCTCAAGCCCTCGGCCACGATCACTTGTGACTCCGTGCTAACACTAAGGGTTCCGTCTACACAATTTCACTCACAAGGCTTGGGTCAACCCGTGGTATGATTTTCATTCACTTTCCACTTTGTCGCATGCAGGGATCGAACCCTTCCAGTCCGATAACATCAGGATCGAACCCTTCCCGTCCGTTAACATCACGATCAAACCCTTCCAATCCGATAACATCAAGATCGAACCCTTCCAGTCCGATAAGATCACGATCGAACCCTTCCATTCCGATAACATCGGGATCGAACCCTTCCAGTCCGATAACATCGGGATCGAACCCTTCCAGTTTGATAACATAGGGATTGAACCCTTCCAGTCCGATAACATCGGGATCGAACCCTTCCAGTCCGATAACATCGGGATCGAACCCTTCCAGTTTGATAACATAGGGATTGAACCCTTCCAGTTCGATAACATCAGGATCGAACCCTCCCAGTTCGATAACATCGGGATCGAACCCTTCCAGTTCGATAACAAATTCCCGACAAATCGTGAGATTCGAACCCGGGTCTCATAGACAGGTCTCGCCCACGTGCCTATATTTAAATGCTTTGTTATTAATTAATAGCAAATAGAAATATGTACGCTCCTAGATTTTAAATAACATCCCCCTGTTGAAAGACAGCGCCTTATCTCTATTTTATCCTCCAAACAAGCTTCTTTCCAACGATATGATTAGTTTCTTGGAAATCTCTAGTGCTCTCTTCTAAATTCATATCATACTTCAGCGAAAAAACATTGGCTTTGAAGGTGTTAAAACTATTTAAAATATGAAAGAGCCACTTCGAAAAAATATCCAAGCGAGTAATTAATATTTGATCAATGATATCTGTTATTGATTTCGTTAAAATTCGTTTCGTCTCCGTGTCGTTCTTAAAGAATCGTGTGAATAAATTGGAGACAATCAAGAAATCGTGTGTCTTGTTAATCAATACAAACTTAGCGTTCGGATTACTTTCAGTCCCCACGATTTGAATTTGGTTGAAAGATATGGTTTTCGACTTATAGATATTTAATAACCCTTGCTTTATCTTGCTGCCAGAAATTAAAACATAATAGATATTGATTGATTGAATTTATTTAGCGGCATATCAACACCTCTATGGGTTATTTAATGCCGAAATCTAAATATTCGGAACGCACCTGTATGGATTCAACTCCACATAAAATGGATTGTTGGTCATTTTGCTTTAAATATACATTGTTGGTTATTTTACTATGAATTGGAATTGTTGCTTGGTCGATTTGTTTAGCGACATATCAAACTCTGTGAAATATTTATTACCGAAATCAACATATTCTGAATGAAATGAGGATACATAGATAGATAGATAGATAATGACCAGAATGGAGATAGATAGATATATAGATAGATAGATAGATAGATAGATAATGACCAGAATGGAGATAGATAGATAGATAGATAGATAGATAGATAGATAGATAGTATTGTGAGACAGGAAACTACCTACACAATAGACTCTTCCAGGCCTATATTAAGTAGGCGACATAGCACTCTAGAGAGTGTCATAGTAAGCTCCGCTTACACTATCTCTGTAACCTGTTGTTAATATATCTTTCTTACATCTAATCCGTGTTCGGTGTTTTGCTTCTGTGGTCCCACCTTTGGCCCCACATCAATGGCGACGAGGATTCTAGAAACGCACTCACAGCGAAACCTAAATATCCCACATCTGGGTCGAATTCTAGAAACGCATTCACGTCGAAAAACCGCAATACTTTGCCAGCCCCACAACAGTGGCGACAGAAAGATTCGGGAATTTCGTTCTCACCATATCAATAGCGACAGTACTCGAAAAGTATACAAACTCCACGCGTTCCCACAGCAGTGTTGAACGTGGAATTAAGCTGGTATTAATACATTAGCGATTTAAAAGCTAAACACCCAGCGTCTACATATAAAAAATATATATATTCCAATACCAAACGCCATTGACAAACTAGCGATTCGACATCTACGGAATATTAAAATCTGTCCAAATAACAATTCGAGAACGATTTCTACACACCCACACACACAGTTGTTCGTAAAACAAACTGACAATACAAGAGCAAGTACTACCATTGTACTCAAGTTTTCGGGAAAAAACTATCTAGAAAATTTTTTTTATGTAACCGAGTTGAACTCGTGCATAAAATTATTCTCCCCTCAAATTCACTGAGGCGAGTTTTCTCTTTTTATAACTCTATAAAAAAAAATACATAAATGTGGTGAAAATTTATTCAATTACGTCAAAATTAATGGAACCACGGGAAAAAAAAGCTAAACACATAATTAGTTTAGTTTAACTAATTGTCTGTCCATATTTTTTCTGTAAAAAAAAAAAGGAACAAAAATCTATCAAGATTTTTTTGTGTACCTCCTCTTAGTACACGTGTTTCAAAGCAACAAAAAAAGCCCTGTCATTTTTAAATATGGAAGATATGCAAAAAGTAGTTGCCCAAATGTTAAAACTAAAATTGGATCAGCAACAAAAATCAAAAGAAAGACAACAACAACTATTTTTGGAATTACATAAACAACAAATGGAATTTCAAAAAATTACGCTTCAGAATGCTGAACTACAACAGAAGCAACTTAAAGAATTACTCGTAAATGCATTAAAAGGCTCAAACTCTGAAAAAGATACAATATTCTCCCAGAGTATAATCTACAATTCAATGGAAACCTTTGAATACGTACCAGAGGAAGACAAAACTCTTGAGGCATTTTTCAGGCGCTACGAAGATATTTTCAACGTAGACTGTGAACAATAGCCCAGTAAAAAAAAGGTACGTCTACTATTGAGAAAACTGGGAACTACAGAACATAGTAGGTTCGTAGACTTTATACTACCCAAGAAAACGACTGACTTGAATTTTTCAGAGACTATTAAGCTCCTATCGGAACTATTCGGGTCTAACACAACCTTGTTCCACAAACGTTGGAAATGCCTGAACACAGTCAAAGACAACCAGCAAGATTTTCTAACGTTTGCAGCATCGGTAAACAAGCTCTGTAATGATTTTAAACTAGCCGAACTGACTGCCGATGATTTCAAGTGCTTGATTTTCGCACAAGGTCTAGTATCAGCAGAAAACGCCGAAGGCAGACGACGGGTACTGACCAAGCTTGAGAACGAACAAGGATTGACTCTCCAAAAACTGGCAGAGGACTGTCAAAGAGTAATATCTGTAAAGTGTGAATCAAACACTATCGAGGAATCAGGTGTGACTCAGATTAATAAAATCAGAAGTAAGTCTACCTCCTATTCCCCTCAAAAAGACAAAATCTCATGTCCTAAATTACGCAGTAACCAAAACCCAAATAAGTTAAAGAAACCGCCCGAACCATGTTACCATTGTGGTAAATGGCATTGGATGAAATTCTGTCCAGTTAAGAACAAAAAATATTGTAAAAATTGCAATAAAAGTGGGCATACTTTAACTCGGTGCTGGTACGCCAACAGAACGAGGAAACCCAAAAATAAAATTAGGCAAGCTCAATCTGACAATATTGTCGATAGGAATTTAAGGAAATATGTAACAGTGGATATTTTCAATAATTCCATTAAATTCCAGCTTGACTCGGGTTCTGATATTTCAACTATTAACTGGTGTGCTTGGCGAAAATTAAACAAGCCGACCTTATTAAAAACGGATAAAACAGCAAAATCCGTAACTGGCGAAAAGATTAACATTTTAGGCAAGGTAATACTTACAGTAACACTAAATGGAGTTACCAAAAATCTCAAAGCCTACGTATTGAAAACTTCAGATAACTTATTTGGAACTGATTGGAGAGAAAAATTCAATCTTTGGGATTGCCAAATAAGCACATTTTGTCGCAAGATACAAAGTACAACGTCTAATTTGGTAAATCTAAAGAAGGAACTCAAACAACAATTTCCCCAGGTCTTTTCTGGCGGCCTTGGGAAATGTACTAAAATGAAAGCTAAGTTCAAGGTGAAGGACGGTGCACAACCGGTATTCAAAAAGAAACGGAATGTCCCTTTCGCTGCAAATCAATAAAGAGTTAGATAGACTCGAACAAGCAGGTATTCTGTCAAAAACAGATTTCAGCGAGTGGGCAACACCTACGTTCTACATGAAAAAAAAGTCCAATCAAATACGAGCCAACGCGATCAGAAACATGCCGGCCCCAGATAACGTTCAAGCGTTACAAAGCTTCCGCGGCCTAGCTAACTTTTACCAAGGGTTCATTAAGAACATGCAAAATTTGAGAGGGCCTCTCAACCAACTTTTAAAAAAGGACAAACCATGGTCATGGACCCCAGAATGCCAAGACGCATTCGAGAAGATCAAGAAAACTCTTAATTCAGACCTCTCCCCCACCCATTACGACCCTAGTCTCGACAACATAGTCGCAAGTGATGCAAGCTCGTACGGCATTGGTGCTTGCAGGTTACATAAACTGCTAGATGGTTCGCGAAAAGCTGTGGCTCACGCATCAAGATCTCTAATTCGATCTTGACATGCCCCAAGTCTCTCCTGAAGTGCGACGCCCAGGAAGGAAAAGGAAATTTACTCAACCGCTCGACGTAAATCCCAAGAGGAAAAACTATTAACAGTTTTATTTTTTCTCTCCTTTTCAAAAAGAAAACTCTTTGGAAGGGGGGTATTGTGAGACCGGAAACTACCTACACAATAGACTCTTCCAGGCCTATATTAAGTAGGCGACATAGCACTCTAGAGAGTGACAGAGAGTGACAGAGAGATAGAGAGACAGTGAGAGTCGCGTACGACTACCAGTATTGGACAATAACATATAGTAAGCTCCGCTTACACTATTTCTGTAACCTGTTGTTAATATATCTTCCTTACATCTAATCTGTGTTCCGTGTTTTACTTCTGTGGTCCCAACTTTGGCCCCACATCAGATAGATAGATAGATAAATAGATATGACCAGAATGAAGATAGATAGATAGATAGATAGATAGATAGATAGATAGATAGATAGATATGAACCGAGACAGATTTTAGCAAAATGATTGCAGATTTTCTTATTTTAACTAATTTTCTTCAAAATAATTTTATTTAGAAAACAAGTTTCAATTAAGAATATCAATTTCTTTAACCGAAAAAAGGCGCTAATGCCATTAAAATGTCTGTGTTTATAGGGAGTGAAAGCGAACGAGAAGGCTTGAGTGAGTAAACGGACAATAAAGGAACACTGGTCAGAAAGACATAAGATGGCGATAGGCACTGCATTTAATTTTTTGAAGATTATAGGCGGCTGGGACGCAAGAAATTAGACGGCATTCTCACAAATGACAAGAGCCAGAAAAGTAACAATTACAATATATGTGGCACATGCATTTAGTTAGTTCAACAGTAAAATTTTGAAACCTAATTGCCAATCTAGTAGCAGGCTTAAATTTGTGTAGTTGAAACATTATGGATAAAAGGTCCTCAGAACAGTTGCCATGAAAGTATTTGTAGAAAAAACAGAGTGAAGCCACGTCACATCGGTTTGAAAGTGACTGAAGTCGAGATGCCAGGTCAAAAGCGATGTCGTTGAAGTTCCTTCTTTGAATTTATGCTAATATTTTGGTTTTTAGTGATTTCTCTTTAGTTTCTGATATAAAATGTGAAAACGGGAAAAACAAATTCGAACGATTTTATTTTACGAGTAAATAAACTTAAATCAAGGTCCAAGATAGATAGATAGATAGATAGATAGATATTAACGGACTGAGATAGATAGATAGATAGATAGATAGATAGATAGATAGATACTAACAGATTGAGATGGTTAGATACGAGGAAAGGATAGATAGATAGATAGATAGATAGATAGATAGATAGATAGATAAGAGGTTAAAAAAGATAAAAAGGGAGTATTGCATTATTTTGCATCTGAAACTCGTTATTAATGCGAGTTATGATAGCTTTATTCGTTAATATCAAATTTTACATTTTCGGATATATATATATATATATATATATATATATATATATATATATATATATATATATATATATATATATATATATATTATTTTTATGTTTGTAAACAAGATCGATTCAGGTAATTCAGTGTTATTCTTGAATTATTCAGCGAGATATTTTGCCTTCGGTGCATGGATTGGCTCTGCATTTATCAGGGTAAATCCAAACCAGCAAGTCGTCTTCAGTCGGCTTTATTCAAGGTCAAAGGCGATTTCAACGGCACTACTTCGGCTTCCACTTGACAAAAGATATTTTTGCTTAAAACCAATGGCATCTGAATCGGTGCCGAGATGTTCAAGAACAGTTCATTTCGCAGAATTTCAATTCGCAGATTTCTATGAACTATTACGACTAGAATCATTACTTTCGCTGTTTCGATCACAACAGTTCATCTTTAGATTTCAGTCAGTTCATATCTATCTATCTCTGGTTCCTCATTATCTATCTATCTATCTATCTATCTATCTATCTATCTATCTATCTTTTCCTCGTATCTAACCATCTCAATCTGTTAGTATCTATCTATCTATCTATCTATCTATCTATCTATCTATCTATCTATCTATCTGTGGCTCCTTAATTATCTATCTCTCTATCAATATATGTCTTTTCATATCTATCTATGTATGGCTCCGCATTATCTACTAAACCATCAATCTGTCTACCTATGTCTCCTCATTATCTATTTCAGTCTTTTCCTATCTATCTATCTATCTATCTATCTATCTATCTATCTATCTATTTATCTATCTATCTATCATACAATTGCGTTCAAAATGTATTTAATTCAAGCCCTAAAAATTATTTTCAAAATATTTAGATTTCAGAATTAAATAACGCATAGTGATTGGTCTGCCGCTAAACAAAATCAAACAACTAACATGAAAGTACTCTTTCATGATATTAATCAATATATCCTTCTATTTCTTAAAGAAATCAAACTGTATTCCAAAATATAACTTCAACAAAACTACAACATAAAACACATATATCACCACCTCTAGTAATTATGTCCACACAAACTTGTATATGCACAAAAGCTGAGTATCATTTACCATGTATTCAATTGTGAAAGCAGAATAACATATCATATTTTTATTAATTTAAAGCTCCCATTAAAATTAAATTTCGGCATCAAATGACCCATAAAGGAGTCGATATGCCGTTGAACAATCAAATCAATCAATCAATCTAACCTGACCTAATCATCTCGTGAAGTCGTAGAAATATATATGTATATTAAACTTGATAAATAAAAATCTATATTTATTTGATAGCGAGTCGAATTTTATTTCTTTTTTTAATATTCAGAAAGTATTAAAAACTAGAAGATTTGATTGCACCATATGTTTTGATATTTTATAACGATGAAAATGAAAGTGACATAATCGAACAGTTTTTGACGGGATGGATAGACAAGTGTCAATAATAATCATAATAATAATAATAATAAATTGACAATCATATTTATTAACTTACATAAATATTTTTCTGCTACTCTATTCCACTAAACAAAATGGAGAATTACTTACTGTGAAAGTCCGCTGAATTAAATCTACCTCAACACACAGGAGAGTGCTTATTTTGTCGACCCTGCTCAACAGAAACACTTCCGGCGCCCAGGGAATTCAGGACGGATTATTGATATTGGCGCTGTTAATGCAACTTTCCGTTCGTTTTATCAAAAGGTGGGTCTTGCAAGGAGGCCCTGCGGCAACCATTAGCGAGAACTCTTACTGTTGAGTAACTTCACGGTAGATGAGAGGTTGGTTTACCTGAAGTAGGTGGTTCGTTGCCTTGGTGAATCGTTCAGGCAATGCGGTTTGTTATCACCCCAAGAGGCGCCCCCTGGCTTGCAATTACCTTTAACTTCCATTTAGAGATATCAGCAACTGTAGGAAGCAAATGTGTTTCAAGACTTCAGACTCTGCTAACGTCTTTGTTAAATTGTATAAAAGCCTCCTTATTCACTAGAGATGTCCACAATCTGGCCTTAGAATCTAAATGTGGCTATTCAGGTTGTAATATAAACGTGGGCTTTTATCTTTCTACTATAAATGAAACTAAACAAAACTTTCTAAAGTTTGATTCCCCAAGTGAGGTTGGCTTTTTTTTAAAAGATATCTACTAACTATAAACTGGTGGGTGAGTAGTGTAACGTACCTCGAAGAAAAAAGTGACTCCAGTATAAACTCGAGCAGTGTACACTAGTGTAAAGTGGAACTATATCTACTTACCTATTAATTTATATTTACCTTATAAGACATATATCCGACATTAGGTAATACACAAAGGTTGATATGTTGTTCAAATAACCAGCCATGTTTATTACAACGATTCGGCCATTCAGTATATGTCTATATTTCTGAGATGAGGTATTATGTACACTATTTACATTATTCGGACTATTGTCCTCATCTTTGTCACCATATTTATTACAACGTTTCGGCCCTTCAGTATCTGTCTATATATCTGATATGAGGTATTATGTACACTATTTACATTATTCGGACTATTGTCCTCATCTTTGTCGCCATATTTATTACAACGTTTCGGCCTTTCAGTATCTCTCTATATTTCTGAGATAAGGTTTTATGTACATTATTTACATTATTCAGACTATTGTCCTAATCGTTGTCGCTATATTTATTACAACGTTTCGGCCGTTGTACGCTCCAGCCTTCTTCACATGGCACAGTGAATAAAGGCGTTGGTTAGATCCAGTGACAAGACCCAAAAATGTGAGTGTGAGTTCAGTGGAAAACTTGGAGAGGGGAATTAACAGGAGATAACTGATAACTGAAATCCATTAAACATAGCACGTGGAACTAGACCAGTCTACCCCAATGAGCGAAATAAAGGGTTCAGTTCGACATTCCAACCACCTGAAGAAGGCCGGAGCGTACAACGGCCGAAACGTTGTAATAAATATGGCGACAAAGATGAGGACAATAGTCCGAATAATGTAAATAGTGGAACTATATCTACTTACCTGTTAATTTATATTTACCTTATAAGACTTATATTCGACATTAGATAATACAAGAAAGGTTGATATGTTGTTCAAATAACCAGCCTAACCCAATCATCTCGTGACATAAAAATTGATAAATAAAAATGCATATTTATTTTATAGCAAATTCTGCAAGGCGAATTCTAAACGAAGCCTATCCCGTTGCATTTAACTTTGCAGTTATACTCCCGCATGAATATATATCTTCCCTCCAACTATGGGTTAAACAGCAGGGTAGATTAGGCTCTCTAGCCTTTGATGGTGATCAGTCTACGAAAAGGAAAATACAAAATTCCAAACCATTGATAAGGCAATGGTCAATGGAAGACGCGCACTCGTACAGCAGGAAAATCCCCCAGCACACACTGCCAATATGACCATACGCAAAGGTGAGAGACCTGAGGAGCTGGAAGTGCTACCTCAACTTTCTTACAGTCTGTTATGGTAATTTACCCACGCACGCATGGACGCTCCCAGCCCCAAATAGGAGCAGGTACTGCCTTTTGGAGACGGAAGATTTCAGCAGTCAGCTCTGACAGTTGGACCGTAACACTATCGTTTGTATGTTTGTATTAGTCTTTCTGTTAATATATTTGTTTAACTCATTTTCTTTTTTGTGTCTTTATTTCTGGACCTAACAAGGCCGCAACAGAGAAGGGGGAGAAGGAAGAAGAAGAAGAAGAAGAAGAAAGAGGAGGAAGAGGAAGAAGAAGAAGAAAGACGAGGAAGACGAAGAAGAAGAAAGAGAAAAGAAAGAATGTTATGGTAATTTACCCACGCACGCATGGACTCTCCCAGCTATAAATAGGAGCATGTACTGCCTTTTGGAGAGAGAAGTTTCCACCAGTCAGATTCGGAACATTCTTGCTGTAACACTCTCTTTTGTATATGTTTGTATTACTGGTTCTGTTAATATATTTGTTTAACTCAATTCCTCTGAGTCCTGGGTAAGACGTTAAACTACATCCGCATCCTGGGTAAGACGATAAACTACTCCAGCAGCAAGGTCTCTGATCAGGAGGTTTTGAGGAGCGTGGAACCACCTCTTAATTGCTGGTGTTTCCATGACCACCTTGACCCGGGGTGGTAGTACCTGTGAGAATTTAGTTAACTATTACCAGCAATACTTTTTTGAAAAGGATCATTACCAGCAATACAATTTTGAAGGAAAATATTCCCAGAAACAGATTTTTGACAAAACAAAATATTACCAACAATAAAAATGTCCTAAAAATACATATTCTATTCATACGAACCTATCCTAAAAATGTTGTCGGCATTAAATAACCCATTGAGGCTGATATGCCGTAAAACAAAATAAACCAAACCAATCTAAACCAAAGAATACATATTCTATTCATATGAATCTATCCTAAAAATGTTGTCGGCATTAATTAACCCATTGAGGCTGATATGCCGTAAAACAAAATAAACCAAACCAATCTAAACCAAAGAATACATATTCTATTCATACGAATCTATCCTAAAAATGTTGTCGGCATTAAATAACCCATTGAGGTTGATATGCCGTAAAACAAAACAAACCAAACCAATTAATTTCTCATTTTTGTCTTTATTTCTGGCCTTAACAAGGCTACAAAATAGTCCAAACCTTTTTACCATATTTTTAACAGCCATAGAACATTTCTTACGCAGACGGAAGTTCAACCAAGTGTACGAGGCTGAAAACGGGTGCAGTAGGCTTTTTTGGCGCTAAACCAGCAATATGGTATAAGCGTGGAATTGTGCTTCGTGCACAATGATGGCAACCAACAACAGAATATTATGGGATATATTTTGATGTAAAAACGCCTTTCCTATGTCATTTGTTTGAACTAATTGAAGTAAATCTTGAAATGCAAACATGCTTTTGTATTTAAGTCCATTCCGTATTTATCACTTGTAGCTGTCAGTAATGTCTGCCTTTTTTACTATCCTTCGTGCTGTCTGACCTGACAGGCATTGACACAGGAACGTTAAGCAGGTTACTCACGGATTCTTTCATTAGCCTTCAATATGTCTTGATGAGTGTCAAATTCTCCAAACTGACTTTCTTCATGATATGTCGAAAAAATTACAATTGTCTCTCAAATTCTAAATAAAATGTCCTTTTTGGTCGC